AAGCCTGGCCAGTAATTGGATGTTGGACTCTGAGAGTCCGAAGCTGCGGGAGATGTTCTTGGGAATGATGACTCCGCAAATGGTGCTGTTTCTATACTAACTCAGAGAGACATGTCCAAAAGAGACAGTGGGGTGGGTGGGTGTGGTGTTGGCGGTGCAGCTTTTCAGAGGACTAGTTAAAAAACCACCCCAATAATTGCTGTCATTAAATATCCCATAGCTTTTCACAAGTGAAGGTGGTTATGCCTGGGGTCCTAGCCAAATTTCACTTCACATGAGTAATGATGTGCTTACCTAAAGTACCCCATACAGGTTCAACTGGGTGCAAAATTATTTATTTCCTGCCCCAAACTACTGTGTAATGGTCTGTGTGCTGTTAACAACAAGGGTATTGCACTGCAGAGATTGGATATGTGTTAGTGTTAAGTGCAGTTTAAACACAGCAGCTGTTTTACCATGCTATATAATAGACATCAGAGTATGTTATAGACAGAACTAGTAACTACACTCATAGTTAAGATTGCTGAACACTTTCCATTATAGGACTCTATTTTCAGTTACTTATAAGTTTGTCAAACTTCCACCATTTGATTTCAATTTTTTTCATGCCAGATCTCTGCTTCAGGCTGGTTTTCTCTCACCCCTTAAATGGAGATGTCCTATCTCCTAGAACTGGAAGGAACCTTGAAAGGTCATCAAGTCCAGCCCCCTGCCTTCACTAGCAGGACCAAGTACGGATTTTGCCCTAGATCCCCAAGTGGCCCCCTCAGGGACTGAACTCACAACCCTGGGTTTCAGTTTCAGTTAAAATGGTTCAACACTTTCTGAAGATGAGATTTGGGAAAAAGACATTGTTTTGTCCACGTTAAAAAAAATTCTCGACCATTTTGTTGAGAAGCTCTGGTATCTCTACTTTGTGGGATAGGGACTTGGAAATTCAGCAGGGAGGTCGTCCTGGTATCAGAGATTTGTTTTTTGCTTTTCTGGGTAAAATTCGCCCAATTTTGGCCAAGTTATAAGTTCCTGAAAAATCTTTGATGTGCCCAGTGGAGACTTGTTAGACTTTGGCAGCTAAACTCTCCAAACATTCTGTGTGTTCTGAGCATGCTCCCTCCTGGGGCTGAGAAGGATTTATTCCGCAGTTGCTTCTCCTGGCTGTTGGTTGCTGCTGGAGCAATAGGCACTGGAACTGAAAGCTGGTGAGGCTCTCTTCTGTGCTCTTGATGCCTTCACAACTGGTTCCTAACCAACGTGGAGAAGGAGGTAGCTGCCTGGCTGGAATGCAGAGGGGTGAGGGGCAAGGACAGCCTGGAAGAGGGTGCATGTAATAAGGGTTTATAACTTCTACAACAAAGGCCCCGCCTGAACTTGGGATTGAACCCTAGATTCCTGAGTCTCCACATTCTTCTGCTTCCAGCAAATAGCTGTGAAACCCACTGTCGTCGTCCTCTACTGGCTGTTCCACGTTGACAGCCTACTACCGGTACCACTTATCCCACTAGCTCAAGTGGCAGTGGCTTGGTATTGTGGATCTATAACCCCCAGTCACTAGAGTCATTCTTACCCTTTCTCTGACTATTCAGGTCTTTTATACAAAATGGAACCGATTCGGCAGAAAAGATAGAAAGCGATCCCCTCAGAATACCCCATAGCTTAGTGGTTGGGGCACTCACCTGGATGGAGGAGCGGGGGAGGGAGGTCCGAGTTCAAGTTCATGCTTTGGTTTTGGCTTGGGTTGAGTCACATTTTTATTATATTTATTTTGTTTTGTTTTTCAGAGCTGCTGGCAAACCAAAACATCAGTTATTTGCACAGCTCTTATTATGATACAGTCTCTGACTACATGATTGCAAACTATTTTTTCCACAGGACGTGGACTCATTGAGTGCCCAGAATGTATGGTGCTCATTGAATGGGTAGTTACTTAACATTTCTTTTTATCCTCATTGCTCAATGTATGGCTTTATTTAACGCATATCATCTGAACCCTGCATTGAATGCAAAATTAACTTTTTTCCTATGCTGCTGTCACCAGAATAGCTGAATACGTCACAAACATGAATGAATGTACCTTCGCAATGGCTAGGCAGTGGTATTCTCTCCATTTTTCAAATGAGAAATTGGCAAAAGTCTCCACTAATTTTGGGTGCTCAGTCTGAGACATCTGGGGCCTGATTTTTCACAGACGGTATCATTTGTATAGCACTTTGTGTTCAAAGCACAGCTCCAATCAACTTCAGTTGCAGTTGCGAGCGCTCAGCACTTCTGGATAATTTGCTCCAGGTGTTTCAAGCCAGGTGCCCAGAAAATGAGGAGTACACAGTGGCCACACGTGAAAAAAAGTTTGTTTTAAGTCACTTGCCCAGCCTCTCGCCTAGGAGCTCTGTGGCACCTGCAGGGATAGAATTCTCCAGGGTGACATTCAGTTGCCTTAACCAGAAGACCATCCTTTCTCTTCCTGTAATCCCCTGCCTTGTTCACTACTCACCTGTCCACTTCTGCAGCCAATGTGGCGGGGACCCTACGGACGCCCTTCCCTACCCGACCCGGATGAATGACCAAATCGCTATCCATTTACCAGCCCTAAATACATCCGCAAATAATTGGCTAAACAATGCTGTGTCTCAGTGTTTTTGTTCCCCTGTCTCGCAACAGGACCGCCAGGCAGTGTGATAAATGGACTGACAGCTGGAGCTGGTTTTACTGGGGCACGTATTGGTTCCTCTGTTGCTGTTTTGTAGCTTCTTGCCGCGTGACATTTATAAACTAAAATGCTGCTTCCCCAAAGTATCAAAGGAAATAAGGCCACTTTTCACCACAGACATAAAAGGCTTCTAATGTACAAATGCAGCAAGCACCACTGTGAAGAACAAAGCCGACAGCTCATCACGTCTGATGCCTTTTAAGTTGATGCCTCCTTTTTCACTTCCAGACTGTCTCCTGGAGCTTGAAGGCTTCAGTGATTGCCTCACCAAGAATTGCCGGAGGAAGAACTCTCTCTAACTTTTAAATGCCTCTTTTAATTTTCCTAAATCAACCTAGTGGCCAGGCCAGATTCCAGTTTTGGTGACCACATTCGACTTAATTTAATTCCTTTGCCGGTTTCAGTTGCGCTCAGTATCCTTCTTGGCTTCCAGTGCTTCCCTGTTGGTCAATGCTGCTTTGTGGTATTAAAGAGTTGCTGTTATATTCCATGCATGTAGTTGCATTCCTGTGGTAGTTTGAAGTGATTCCTACATGCATAGATGAGTTCCCATGCACTCTCAACTTCCATTGATGTAGGTAGGAGCGAAGATGCTCAGCCTTGGCGGGACTGGTCCTGACAACAGCGCTGCATGCATGCTTGAAGTTAGGCACAGGCCTATGGTGTGTGAAGCATTTTGGGATCTCTGAGGATGAAAGCCCCCACATCGATGGAAGTTGTTAGTCTATGCCACCTGTAGCTACCATACGCTGGGAGTGGCCTAGTGCATAGAGTATGGGACTCATGAGACCCGGATTCTGTTCCCACCTCTGCCACTGGCCTGCTGGGTGACTTTGGCCAAGAAACAGCCCCTCTCGGTGCCTCAGTTTCCCCATCTGTAAAATGGGGATAATGAAACTGACCTCCTGCGTGTAAAGCGCTGTGAGTTCTAGGGAAGCAAGAGTTAGGCCTTGTTATTTCTCTAGGGGCAGTATTGTGGCAGCTGTTAAGCTTCTACCGCCAGCACTGGAAAAACATTTCTATTTTCATAGCTGTGCCAAATGGGGCCACGTTACTTTCCTGTGCTGACAGCAGTAGATCCCACTACTAAAGTGTTGGCATCAGCAAGAGAAAAATGATCCAGGAAAGGAAAAAGACCCAAGGAGGGAAGAGAAATTGAAAAAGAACAATCAGCTTCAATGAAAACTTGGTGAGAGACGAGGCACAAGGGGGAAAGGGGCAGGCAGAGGGAGGAGACACCGGACTGGGTTGGTGCGTTGGCCTTTTAACCCTTGCAGATGTTGCTTTGTATATTTAATTCACGAGTTGGGTGGGTCTCAGGTCTGACCCCTGGTGGACAGGTATCTCTGTTGCAAAGCCACTGTGCAGTTTGGTATTGTTGGCAGCCTCTGCTCTGTAGAGGCCTAGGAGTTAGAGTATGTGAGTGTGGAGGGGTATTATTCAACAAGAGATGCTCTCCTGGTAGACTTGGCTGTCTCTGTCCACTGCTTTTTGTTTGGCAGCTTTCAGGGGAGCTAAGACAAATGCACTATCAATCCTCCCTGACAGACAGGCTTTGGGATATTGGTGCCGTAGAGTTCTACCCACCTCTTTCCCGCCTCTTTTTTCACAAGTCTTTTTTTTGTTTGTTTTTGTTTAAATCCTTACTGAAAGGAAGCCCTTTGGTTTGGAAGGGAGATTCCATTTTATTAGGCAGTCCTGCAGAGCTGGAGGTAGATATCAATTTGTGGACACAGAAATAACTCGAGGTTCCATCCACCCTGAGTCTCGGCCCCGGGTTTTACTGGGTGCGTCCTACAAATTTGTAAGCGTGGGCTCGGAGGACATTAAAAACATCACCCAATATCTTCAGGATCAGTGCAGCTGATGATGTCATGCTGTGAGCTGATGTGTGTGGCATGTTGTCACAATACATCAAGACAAGTCAAGCCCTTTGTCATGGCGGATAGCGCTTTAGAGGTGGGACCCATAATTCTACTGATGTGAATTGGGTTTTGCCCAAGACCAGACAAAAGCTTTTCGCACATTCAGGCAGCCAAGTACAAAGGCACAGCTTTAGCTCCTTGCAGAGGGATTTTTCAGCATAACGCCCATCAACATTGGTGAGGATTGTACGGCTAAATCCCAAGATTGCCATTCTTTGCTACTGCTTTCAAGAGTCTATTTGAATGTTACTTATGATTGATGTTATGGGTAGAAGAAGGCACAAACAGTGGAGGATGGATGCTGTTTCCCCGTGTGATCCCCCTCTCTGCCATGCTAACAGAACAACTTTATTTTTCTTTTCTTGTTACAGAAATTCAGAGGAGTGTGAATGTACGATCTATTGGATGTGAACTCCTTCTTCTAAAGCAGACTTGCAATACCCTAATCTCTCGCTTGCCTGGGGTAAGTAAAAAAAAGCCATTAGCATGGCAAAGGGAGGGCAAGTGGATTTTGTGCCTGGGCTAGTACATTTCTGTGCTAGTTTTGTAAGCTTGTCCTGCAGGATTAGGATTTGAAGGGCATGACACATGTAATTAGAAAGACGTTGCTAAATGAATACCTAGATTGACAGGTCTGCCTTGTCTGCTGAGTGACTTGGACCTAACAATAGCTCTGCTGTCCTTAATGTTCCTGTTACCTGAACAAGCACTTCCTGCTAGAGAGAACTATAAGCCCATGGATAATTAACACAATCCTCAATCATTCATGTACAATGTAATAATGTGATAAAAGCAGGAGTTAATGGATAAAAAAGAAACAGTCCTGACCCTGACTTGGAGTTTGGTTCTCTTTTGTGATGCACTACGCAGATCTGCATGTCCCTATTTCTGTCAGTCTCATTTGTGTACTGTGGCATCAGAGCACAATCGTCCAGACTTGAATGCAAACTACTCCAGACATTGGATTATCTGAGCACTTTTACCAGATGTAAATAATGCAGGTGAACGATCTACATCGAGTCCTGCTTATTCCCTTCGCATCTCTAGAGTCAGGCGAGATGGGTTAGAACTTCATTTTTCTCTTCTTGTCCTTCTGGTCTCATTCTTCCTTGTTTTCCTTTGCCCTGTTCTGAGAGCGGGTAAAGCAGGCTTTTTGTGTGTGCATACCTTTTATCGGAAAGATGTGTCCGAGAGATAGGTTTTGAGGTTTGTCCCCCAGGTGGCTGTTAAATTCCGTTACCTCTCACTTGTTCCCACAGTGAGTCATGAGTCACCCAGGAAAGCGTGGGAGAAATTTGAGTGGTCCTGCCACTTATACTGAGAGATCATAACAAGAGAGGGTGGAGATCGTCTTATATTTCATCTTCCTCAGGTGGTTAAATATCAGAGAAATACACATGATGGAAGAAGCCCCATCGCTTGGGACTTATAAAACTAAAATGGGCAAGACCCTAGAAAATGTGCTCTGCATTGGCCAGGAGACAGGTTGGATGCTCTTAATGTGTGCTTTCCATAGGGAAGCTGGCATCCCACTATGATATTTCATAGTAATAGGGTAGGAGCTTGGAAAAGCATCTGTCATCCGCTCTGAGAGAGACAGGAATTGTCAAGGGGACTCGTTCCCAGAGTCACCTTGGCATGTGTTTGTTCTTTCCCGGGATCTCAAAAGCTCCGGCAACTCTCTGCTTAGATCTTCAAAGCAAAATATGTCAATGAAAGGACACAATCTACAGTGTGACCCCCTGATCTTTTTGATCTTGAACAATCAATTAAATCTAAGACTGTGTCATTCCCCACATTGCAAGGACTATTAATAAACTGAGGTGCCACATCAGTGATACAGCTAGATTTCCAACCTTTTTCTTTGAATGGCTCTGGCCTTTCGGGCTGGGTCAGGGTCAGATTATTTACAAAGGCTGCTCCGTAGATCTGCCTGCCAGGACGGATGTTAACGTTCTAATATTATTGCATTGGTGAAAGAAAACGATGGTGAACTCTCGTCCAGATCTCCTCTCTAGCGTTTAAAGGGATGGTAAAACCCATGATGATGATTCATTGGATGTGCATTGTGACTTCCACCTGAGGCTCTCATGAGTGCTTAGTATATATCATGAGAGACAGGTGAGTCCTGTGAACCGGACTTTGGAGGCACAGCAAAGCAGTAGCGGAGCTGTGAATATAACCCAGAAGTCCTTTGTTCCAGCTTTAATGCACCCTCGTTGGTGTCAGTTTTGTAGTACTGTGTGAATGATTTTGCAACTGAAAATGTGTATTTTTTCCCCCATTCTATTTCGGCTACGCCCACAAAGGAAGATATCTGAGGATTCTTCTAATCTCTGTACCCTGCAAAGAAAACCTATTTCCTTTCACACGCTTAAGAACAGAAGTCTCGTTCTGAGTGCCCGTGAACACAATTTATATTTGTTGCTTAACAAAGCCTTACCAGATCCTGGTCTGTTTTGACGAGCACTGTGTAGCTAGCTTGGTATGAATGTTCTGTGAGCACTTTGGGAATCCCGAGCACAGATGGGCGGTTGGTTGGGTTTTCCCCATTCTTAATGTTCATAGAAACAGTTCCTAGATGGCTCCATCCTGACCATTTCCACAGAGGGAGTATGCAGAGGTCAAGGTCAGTTTTGGGTTACCAGTGAGAGAAGTTAATGGCATAGGAGCCCAGTTTCTGTGGTTCCATGAATGCTGCCAAAGCCTTCAAAAGCACAGAAGTCGCAAGCCAGTGGGGGATTTTGAAGGGAAAATATCAGGTAGTGGAGGTCAAAAATGTATAATTTGGGGTTAAAAAAAACCCACGCCCTTTAATAGAATTTTTAAATAATTATTTCTAATATTCAGTTAAAACAATTCTTTTGGGGTGGGTTTAACCACTCATCTGCAGTGTTTGCAACCTCAGACGCTACATATTGGACGGGAACTGGCTTGTGTTTGTGAGGTGGCTCAGTAGATAATGTATTTATCCTCCCAACACCCCTGGGAGGTGGGGAGGTGCAGTTATCCCCATTTTACAGCTTAGGAAACTGAGTTACGGAGCAGCTCAGTGACTTGTCATACAGGAAGGTGGTGGACAAGTTGGGAGTGTCGCTTCTCGGCCTTTTGGCAAAGGTCAAGCGCAGTGCCCAGAGACCCTAACCAAGGTCCGGGTCCTTTTGTGCTAGGTACTGTACAGATGCATAATAAGGAGACTGTTCATTCCCTGAAGAGCTGACAGTCTAAGTTGGGGTTCTCAAACTGGGGGTCAGGACCCCTCAGGGGGTTGCGAGGTTATTACATGGGGGGTTGCAATCTGTCAGCCTCCAACCCAAACCCTACTTTGCACCCAGCATTTATATTGGTGCTAAATATATAAAAAAAGTGCTTTTAATTTATAAGGGGTGTCACACTCAGAGGTTTGCTATGTGAAAGGGGTCACCAGCACAGAAGTTTGAGAACCACTGGTCTAACTAGACAAGACAGACAAAAGGTGGGAGTTGAAGCAGCAGTACAAAGAGGTGAAGTGATTTTTCCAAGGTCATACAGCAAGTCTTAGAACCCAGTTCTCCAGAATCTGGAAACCTTCCTTCCTTTACCTAAAATGACGGGTCTCTCCTCCTTGTTGGAACTGAGTAGGAAAAAAAAAACACAGAAGTTTTTTAAAAAAAAGAAAAGAAAATCAGAGTTTTAAAATTCCTTTAGTTTTAATAATTGAGGGCCAGATCCCCGGGTGGGGGGAGTGTGTGTGCGGGGCTCCAAGCATTGTAACCGGTAATTTAATTACCCTTTGACAGACCTACTTGCCTTTCTCCTGAAACTGACGTCTGAGGAAAGTAGGATGTCAAAGCACTCAGGTGCATTATTGCAGAACATGACCTTAGCGCTGAGTTTAGTCACACAGCATTCTTCACAGGTGAGGTGGTTGTCAAAGGTAGATCTACTTGGACAGTCTTGCTGCTTATGGTGTGTAGAGGGAAAAG